ATATTCCATCATGTATATGTACCACATTTTTAAAATTCAGTCCTTTTTGGATAGACAGCACCGTTGGTTCCATATTTTTGGTTTTGTAATTAAGATTCAGCATAATTCTTAAGGGCTCTGGGATTTTCGGAATGGTAAATGAGCACTGGCTTCACCTTAAAGTCACCTGCTGAATTAGCCCTTACCAGAAGAGTCAGCTTGTTTTTTTGAAGCTTTGAGGCTAGGCATTGACTTCTCCTCTCTAGCTATGAAAGTCCAAATGACATCTTCTTCCAATATAAGGCTATTTCATCTATATTCAGAATCTGTTGCCGGGCTCGGTGGCTCAGCCTGTAATCCTGCGCCTTTGGGAGGCCGAGGTGAGTGGATTGCCTGAGCCGCGGGTTCGAGACCCGCCTGGGCAGCGAGACCTCATCTCTACAGTAAATCAAAAAATCAGCCGGGCGTGGTAGCGCACGCCTGTAATTCCGGCTACTCGGAAGGCTGAGACGGAAGGATCACCAGAGCCCGGCAGGTCGAGGCTGCGGTGGCCGGGAGCGGCCGCTGCCCTCTACTCTGTGCGACGGAGTGAGACTCCGACTCAAAAAAAAGAATCTGTTGTTCATTGTTGTCACCTTCATCGATGATATTAACTAGATCTTCTGGATAACTTGCTGCAGCTTCTACATCAACACTTGCCGCTTCACCTTGCACTTTTATGTTACGGAGACATCTTCTTTCCTTAAACCTCATAAACCAGCCTCTGCTAGCTTCAGACTTTTCTTCTGCAGCTTCCTCACCACTCTCAGCCTTCATAAAATGAAAGAGAGGTAGGGTCTTGTTCTGCATTAGGCTTTGGATTAAGGGAATGTTGTGGCTGGTTTGATCTTCTATCGAAACCATACAACTCTCTCTATATCAACAATAAGACTGTTTCTTATTCGTGTGTTTGCTGGAGCAGCACTTCTGATTTCCTTCAAGATATCTTTCTTGCATTTACAACTTGGTCAACTGGTGCAAGAACCCTCCCTAGCTTTCAGCCTTTCTTGACTTCTGACATGCCTTCTTCACTAAGTTTAATCGTTTCTGGCTTTTGATTTAAAGTGAGAAATATGTGACTCTTCCTTTTATTTGAACACTCAGAGGCCATGGTAGAATTATTAATTGGCCTAATTGTGTCTCAGGGAATAAGGAGGCCTGAGGAGAGGGAGAGAGATGAGGAAAGGCTGGTTGCTGGAGCAGTCAGACATTTATCCGTTAAGTTCACCGTCTTATGTGGGTGTGTCTTTTTTGTACCCAAAACAATTAGAGACAAGTAATTTGAAACTGACATGGTATACAAATGTTCTTTCACCCGGTAATCCAAGGTGAAAGAGTTTATAGGAATTTCCAGTGGGTACAGAAATACAAAGATCAGGGCAACTCCTTCGGGTCCCCTTCCACTGTGGGAGCTTTTCTGTCCTCTCCATAAATCCTGCTTTCTCGCTTAAAAAGAAAAGAAAAGAAAAGAAATACAAAGATCAGTGATCATTGATCACAGATCACCATAATAGATATAATAATAATGAAAAAGTTAGAAATACTGTGAGAATTTCTAATGTGACACAGAGACATGAAAGTGATCACCCACTGTTGGGAAAAAAATGGTGCTAATAGACTTGCTCAGTGCAAGGTTGCCACAAGCCTTCAAATTTTAAAAAAAATGTAATATCTGCAAAATGCAATAAAACAAGGCATGACTCTGCTTACTCCAGTAAAAACTTCATTCTCATTGAGGATGAGATATACTTAACTCATTGCTTTACTATTTTAAGAATTTTTAGATAAAATATAGAGAGAATTTTAACATAATGGAATAAATATCTAATGAAAGATAAAAATAGCTTATAACAGAAATGAATTGGTGAATACACTTAGCATGGGTTGAAGGACTAAAAATGGAAAAAAAATAGCAATGATAGAAAGTTTTGGCCAGGCACCATGGCCCATGCCTATAATTCCTGCACTTTGGGAGACTGAGGCGAGTGAAGTAGCCACTTCAGATAGTAGTCCAGAAATTCGAGACTAGCCTGGGCAACCTAGTAAGACTTCATCTCTACAGAAAATCTTTTAAAAAATTAGTTGGAATGGTGGCGAACACCTGTAGTCCCAGCTACTTGGGAGGCTGAGGTGGAAGGATTGTCTGAGCTCAGGGAGTCAAGGCTAAGCCATGATTGTGCCACTGCACTCCAGCCTGGGCAACAGAGTGAGACCCTGACTCCCCACCCCCCAACAAAAAAGATTGTGCTTAACCTTGATGAAGACGACAAAAAACATGCCACTAAAAAGTGAGGGCACATTTTGCCTAGAAGAGACATCTGTCATCTTTAAGGGAAGGTCGAGGAAAGCTTGAAAGGGATCAGATTACTTATATTGTCCTGCTCTGATGTTATACACACAGTACTGTAGTCAAGCTTGTAAACTGATAAATTGTCTATATTGAACTCAGAGGTACAGACATCTCCCAGTCATCTCATTGATGGTTGTAATTTCCCTGTCAGTTTCCACCCCTGAATAGTAGCCATGAATTTACCATGACAGAAGAGAATCTAACTCTATAGTGGGAACTCCAGTTTAGAGACAGGTAACTTGAAACTGATATACTCAGTAAGCAAAGGTGGAAGAACTTCTAGGAACTTCAGTGGCTACAGGAAGATGAAGATAAATGAGGTGTGTGTCCTATAGTCAAGGAGTTCCAGTCTGGTGGGAGGACAGGAATTCGGCTAGCTCCAACACAATGTGGTAAATGCTTTCAGAACGTTGTCGTGGCAGTGTGCTTGAAGACCCAGGCGAGAGTTCCCAGGAGGCAACGCTTTGAACATGAGGTGAAAGGGAAAGGCAGGGGTGCCCAGGTGACAAGGTTGGATAGTAGCTTATGAGTGACAAGTCACCATAGGCCTCTAAGCAAGGTAGTGGCATGTTGTTCGACCTTTGTGTTGGAGCTGGAATCCGTGATGGTGGCAAGGAGACTAGTTAGGAGGCCAGAATAAGTAACTAGTTAAAGGTAATTGGGAAAATAAAATTCATGATAGCAATAAAAGAGCAGGCAATTTTCAGATCGCCCCCCAAAAAACCCCCCCAAAACTTGTAGCCCACCCCCCTGCCCCCCTTCCTGGAACACTTGACTTTCAAGAGGAGACACAACCTGGTGGGTGATTCTGGCCCAGAGGTTGCTTCTCCTCCTCTAGGTCTGCTACGCAGTGTTGACATCCTCGTCCACACATGGGCCCAGCAGCTGGAGAGCGTCGGGCGTCTGCAGGGCATGACCATTTGCTGTTCTCTGCCCTGCCACTTTTGACCCTCTTGCTGTGTTTTTAGGGTGCTCTCTAGCTCTCAGATACAAGAAGTTCTTAAATAAAATAAACCATTTGTCAGCTTTTAGACTCAACAGAACTTTGAAAAGCAACGACTTAATTGAAGCCATAAAGCAGCTCCTTCCTCCTCTATAGAACGTGCTTCCTAGTGGTCATAGCTCTTGTCCAGAGCATCAGACTTGCTCTGTCTCTGTGATGTCTAAGATTCAGGTTGCAGCCGGGCTCGGTGGCTCAGCCTGTCATCCCGCACTTTGGGAGACTGAGGTGAGCGGATGGCCTGAGCCCGCGGGTTCGAGACCCGCCTGGGCAACTTGGCGAGACCTCATCTCTACAATAACTAAAAAAAAAATCAGCCAGGTGTGGTAGTGCATGCCTGTAATTCCGGCTACTCAGAAGGCTGAGGCGGAAGGATCACTGGAGCCCAGCAGGTCGAGGCTGCAGTGGTCGGGAGTGGCCACTGCACTCCAGTCTGGGTGACAGAGTGAGACTCCAACTCAAAAAAAAAAAAAAGATTCAGGTTGTATCAGTGGCCCCATGTTGTTCTAAAGTGGCCTCTACATTGAATGTTTCTGCAAAGTAAGGGAAATATTTTAGAATGCACAGTTAAGGAGAAATGCAGCCCCAAATGAGATAGATCATTTTGATGATGAGGACATTGACAATGATGAGGACAGTTATAATAGAAACTTTTATATTGTGCATATTATATGCCAGGCATTATTCTACGCTCATTTGATATAATAACCCAGCGAGGTAGCCATAATTCCCCTTTTATAGGTGAGACCATTAGAAGCACAGAGAATACACTGATTTGCTTAAGAACACACAGCTGGCAAGCAGTGGGATCCAGCTTCAGCCCTGTCCATGCTGTTCATGGTCTTCTTCACGAAGCTCTGCTTCCTCTCTTTGATGTCTTAAATATCCTGTACTTTGATATATAGGCAGAGTCAAATGTTCAGAAGTTTCAGGTTTAAAAATGTGAGTCTGGCAGCCTTAAGAATCTCTTAGCTGTCCCCTCCCAGGATGTGCTGTCTTGCTCTAGATGTCGGCAGCTATGAAATCTGCCTTCGGTGAGCAGCAGGGGATCCAGAGCTGTTGGGACCGACACAGAAACAAATGTGACTCTTCTCACCCGTATTTATGTTCGGAGAAAATGGAAGCAGTGGAATCTCTATAAGCATTTGTAAGCCTCAGGATGGTTTTATGAGTTTGTCTTTGGTACTCAGTGTCAGGCAGAATGACCGCAGTGGAAAGATGGTGTGGGCTTTGCTGCTTGGCCTCTGCTCCAGCATCCTGCAGCCCATCCCTGTTGCCTCGAAAGGCCTCCCAGCTGTGAGGAAGAGGGTGCGGGGAAACCTGTCGGAGGGGCCACCCCATCGCTCCTGGAACGCGGTCTTCTAGATCAGTGTTGCCGAGTTTGGTCGTTTCGGATTTTCCTTTTGTTGGGCGCTCAAAACAGAGGGGAGGTGAGGAAGAGGGAATTTGACTCCTGTTGTCTTAAAACAGAAACATTAGCCCAGAGACAGCTGACAACAGTGCTGCTCATGCTGACCTCACTAAAGTCGGTAAAGCAACAACCATCTGTTGTGGTCTCACTTTCATGGGTCCACGCGGCCTTCACCTTTTTATGTACAAACTCTTACTTCTGTTGCTTTCTCGTTTGAACAGAGCATCCTGGTCCACCATCAGGAACAAACTCAGCCCGGCAAAGCCCAGCCCTGCAGCACAGGCCCATGGGACAGTCACAGGCCAACCACCTCCCTGGGGACAGGTGGGCTGTTCTTCTCAGGTTTTGCTTTCTTCTCTCATCTCCCCACTCCCCACAACGCACCCCACCCCACTCCCACCCCCATGCAGATGCCGGCTAGTGCCGTCAAACGAGAACTCGTGCCTGTTCCGTCCTCCAGTGCCTTCCCTGTTCCCTCCGCCTGCTCCATACCTTTGTCCCGCTTCCCAGCCCCCATCCCAGGCTCAGCAGAATTATCCAATCAGGCCTGCTGAGCAAGGATTAGAAAGGAGTGACAGAAGCATCTGGCTCTGCTGCTCCTGGTCCTCATAGTTTTAGTAGGGAGGGCCTAGACCCACATGGATGCTGTTTTCTCAGACTGCCTGAGCAGAGCAGTATTTTGTACATATTTCTTTCCTCTTTTGTTGAGAATACTAACCATGAAACCAAAACTAGACTTCCAGAAATTCTGCATCTTCATAGGCGTTGGTGCTGCAGGAGAGCCATTTTTTACTGTGACAAGGTCAACTGATCTGCCCTCTAGTTCAGTCATTTGAGTGCAGTTTTCCGTGATGTCAACTGAACTGAAGTGCCGTTTTTAAAAGTGAGTTTCTGAGAAAGGAATTGAGAAAAAAAAAACTTTTAATGTGGGGATGTTGACAGACTTTAAGCTATGTCAGAGTTAATGACCAGGTTTTTCCTGGTGTCTCTCAGGTTCTAGATATACTCTGTCTTCCTAGTGATTTGTCAGAAGGAGAATGACAAGGTTCAGCTTTTAAAAGAAAAGAAATTAATCTGCCTTTGCTTTTAGACTGTTTTTCATGTTCTCAGTTCAGAGAGTGACTTGACGTCTCTCTCTTGTAGAAGTGCCCTAGAAGATGAGGCTGGAAAAGATGGCTCCACGTACAGACACTCATGGTCTGACCACAAGCACCTCGCACAGCCTGACACTGCGGTGATCTCCATCGTAGGCAACCGGCACACTCAGGTAAAGACTGAGACTTTGAGTTTCTGTATCACTGACAGTGGTGAATCTTTATTGCAAATCAGTTCAGATCAGTTTGTTTCCAAAATGAATAATCCTTAAAGACCCACTGTGTGTTTGGCATTCTGTTAGCATCCAGGGTAATGTAGAGAGCGAAAGAAAAGTTCATCCTACAGGAGGAGAAATTGGAACCCTTGGTTAAGTACTTAGAAGTAAGTAGCATTTTAACTAATTGATGTAGGAGGTTTTTATTTGTTTTTCAGGAAAATTAGTTAAAATCTGTTTAAAGGAAGCACTTTCCAAAATTCTGTTCTCTGATCCATTGCACATTAACCAGTTAGTGGAGAAGACATGCAATCTTAAGATTAATTTAAGCTGCATTTTAAAATGAAGTAACCCAGCCGGGCTCGGTGGCTCAGCCTATAATCCCGCGCCTTTGGGAGGCTGAGGTGAGTGGATTGCCTGAGCTTGCGGGTTCGAGACCCGCCTGGGCGGGCGAGACCTCATCTCTACAATAAAATACAAAAAAAATTAGCTGGGCATGGTAGCGCGTGCCTGTAATTCCGGCTACTCGGAAGGCTGAGGTGGAAGGATCGCCGGAGCCCAGCAGGTTGAGGCTGTGGTGGCCAGGAGCGGCCACTGCACTCCAGTCTGAGCGACAGACTGAGACTCCAACTCAAAAAAAAAAAAAATGAAGTAACCCTTCAACCCAAAATTGCCTTCCTTCCTTCCTTCCGGTCTAGAAACTCATATTGGGAGTATAAATTATTTCTCCCAGCTATAAAAGTCGTGTTTCTTCCCAAGGTCGGTAAAGCCTTCCGCAAGAACTTGTTTCCCTGCACTTTGTTCTCTAGAGCCTCGGCTGTCACCCAGTGGAGCTGGAGAGAGGGCCCCGGGGCTTCGGGTTCAGCCTCCGAGGGGGAAAGGAGTACAACATGGGGCTCTTCATCCTGCGTCTTGCTGAAGACGGTCCGGCCATCACAGACGGCAGAATCCACGTGAGTCAGCGTCTGTCTGAGCCTTTGGCTCAGGCTCCAGCCTGGACACTTCCACAGTCGTTGAGTCAAAGGGGACGCAGAAAGGGTTCACCATCACTGATACCTGAAGGGCAAATGCTTGTCCTCTTGCTGACCCCCTGGTGGCTGCATTTCTTCCCTCATGCTATGTCCTGAAGTTATGCTACTTTGGCCTTCTTGACCCTGGGCGGTGAGAAAAGTCATTTCTTATTTACACAGTCAACATCTGAGGGTACGTAATTAACAAATAAAATATACTTTCATCCTCCTAAGAGTCTTGGGAAAGGCAAGATAAAATAGAATCTTTAACTTCATATAAGAAACAATAGGTCCCGAATTTCCCTTCCCCTCTTTGCTCCCTCTAGAGGTAACCAGAGGTTGAAAAGCATGACTCTCCCAACCTTTGTTATTATTTGAAGGACTAAAACAATAACGCAGTAACGTCCTGTCATGGGAGTTCTCAACTCTGAAACACGGTGACTTTTCACAGGGCATTGGAGTCCAGATTATTTATAGATCTGCCTAAGGTATTTTTGCTTCTTCTCCAGATGTTAATTAAAGAGGAACCTTATATAGAAGATATTTATTGTCTTCAATTTTTAAAAAGTAATTAACTCACCGGCGTTCAGTTAGGTTATGCATTTAACAAATGTTCTCTTTCTCCCTACCCAAGAGAATTTTAGATTTTGTTTCTCTGCCACCAATAGGCATCCGGGAAAGGGAACTCTTTTTTTTTTTTAGTTTTCACTAAGTATACCAACTAAAGGCAAATGATCCTGGTGCATTATTAGGTGGCATACTCTCGTACTGACCAGAAAGGCCTCTGGGTGACCACAGTTTGGAGATTTTCACCTTACTCCCATTGCTGAGTATTTCACAAGCCTGTGTTGAGTTCTTGTTCTAACCAAGGCTGTATCCTTGGTACTGAATACATTGGGAGAAGGAGTGACCCAAAACAAATAAGATGCCATCCTTCCTCCAAATAGCCAGACACCTACACAAGTCCCAAGGGGCAAGCAGATTTCACAGGCTAGGCAGTGTCAAAAGGTGCAGGGAGTTTCGAGAGAGAGAGGTTGAGGAGAGAAAGCCTTCTAAGCTGAAGCAATTAGGAACAGGATAAAACCAAGGAGTAGAATCATGTACAGGGAACTTCAAATAGTCGCGTGTATCTAGATTTTATTTAGAAAATACCTAGGGAAGTGGAGGAAGGCGTTGCCAGGATAGAGGCTGTAGACACTGGGAAGCCATGGAAGACCTCAGAGCCAAGAGTTGCCCTCCTAGCCGCTGATGAGATCCGTCTGTTGTGGCATGCGGGTGGTGAAGGGAGAGGAGCAGAGCGGGACCTAGCGGTGGCAATGGGCGTGTCGCTCTGACTCCAATGGTGGCACTTGGGATGAAGAGCCAATCCGTACGAGCCTAGCAGTGTCAGAGAAGGACCAGTCTAGTTGCGGATGAAGTATTTGTTCCGTGAGGACGAAGGAAAGGAAGCGTGACGGACGGCTCGGAGGCCTTGCCCTGCCGGCTCCATGAAAACCATTAGGGAGGCCCAGGGGAGAAAGGGCGTGGCGAAGACCGATGGCGCAGCGTTGGCCCGTGGAGGAGGAGGTGCCAGCTAGCTGGGCAGGTGTAAATGTTTACTAGGCGTCTGGAACCAGTGGTAGCCACCCAGACTACTCAGACAGGTAGTGACTGAAGCCTTGCAGTAGGTAAGTGACCAACAGAGAAGACTGAGAGAGTAGGTCAGGCGCAGTGGCTCATGCCTGTAATCCCAGCCCTTTGGGAGGCCAAGGTGAGAGGATTGCCTGAGCCCTGGAGTTCGAGACCAGCCTGAGCAATTAAAAAAAAAATTTAGCCAGTATGGTAGGTGTGCTTGTAGTCCCAGCTACCTGGAAGGCTGAGGTAAAAGGATCACCTGAGCCCAGGAGGTCGAGGCTGCGGTAGCCATGATCTTGCCACCGCTGGGCTCAAGTGATTCTTCCACTTCAGCCTTCCAACTAGCTGGAACCATAAGTGCATGCCACCATACCTGGCTAATTTTTGGATTTATTGTAGAGATGGGGTCTTACCAAGTTGCCCCAACTGGTCTTGAATCCCTGGGCTCAGGCAATCCTCTTGCCTCCGCCTCCACCTCCCAAAGTGCTGGGATTAAAAGCATGAGCCTCTGTGCCCAGCCTTTTTTTTTTTTTTTTTTTGAGTCAAGGCCTCACTCTGTTGCGCATGCTGGAGTGCAGTGTTACAATCATGGCTCATTGCAGCCAGTCATACTCCCACCTCAGCCTCCCAAGTAGCAGGGATTAAAGATGCACATCATCATGGCTGGCTAACTTTATAATTTTTGTAGAGATGGGTCTTGCTATGTTGTCCAGGCTGGAGTGGATATTATTTTGGAAACCACAAGACTGCTTAAAAAGATAGTGACTTTTGGGTTTTTTTGGTGGGGAGGTTGGTTTTGTTTGTTTGTTTTTTGAGTTAGAGTCTCTCTAGTTATCCAGGCTGGAGTGCAGTGGCATGCTCACAGCCACCGCAGTCTCGACCTACTGGGCTTAGGCGATCCTTTGGCCTTAGCCTGCCAAATAGCTGGAACTACAGATGCACGCCACCACGCCTGGCTAGTTTGTGATTTATTATAGAGACAAGGTCTCACCAAGTTGCCCAGGCTGGACTCAAACTCCTGGGCTCAGGCCTCGGCCTTCCAAAGTGCTAGAATTACAAGCTGAGCCACCGCACCCAGCTGTGACTTGTTTTTTAAAAGAATATTCTTTTTCTCTATTTCTTCTTCCCACTACTTTTTTTGGTTTTCCTGTTTCATTTTCTTCTCTTTCATTTATCTCATCTTCCTGGCTCTTCCTCTCTGTGCCCATAATTTTTTTTAATAATACAAAATTGAATTTAAATATTTGTTCTATTTATTAAAAGATGTTTTCTTCAATCTACTCTTATCACATTTAAAATTTTTAATGTAATTTGAAATTCTAAAAGCATGTTGACATCTCCCTTTCAGGGGAGCCTTTTTCATCTTCAGTTTTGCTCAGTTCTGCACAGAACTCTCCCCCCCGCAAGGGCCTGTCTGCCACAACCCTTAAAGATGTGACTCCCCTCTCCCGCACCCAATTTAGTTTTAAAGTTAAACAAAAATGACACCTGGTGGTAAATCTGTCCAATTACAAGTTTTATTTGTAATGTATTTGTTGTACTAAAAGAATGAAACGTTTAGAGAGTTTAAGCCAAAGAATATGATTGAAATTAATCTCAACCATTTTTAATAAGATAGACCCAAACCATGCTGCAAATACTTTCTACTTTAATTTTCATTTCTGTAATTATCAGCAGGATTATAAGTCTAGGGCTAATTTGTTATCTATATTTCCTCATGAAAATTATTCTTCTATCACTTATCAGGGGAAGTCTAGGTATTAGCTCCTGTTTCCCTCATATATTCTAGATAGTAAGGGGTTTTTAAAAAATTACTTTTCTTCATCCTATTAACCTCATTATTGTCTTACTTTGGTTGTTTTTGTTTGAAGGTATTTTTATTTTCTATATTAAATCCATGAATCTCGCATGCCATTTCTTCTCTTAAAATAAATAGGCAACAAAACACTTATTCTGTTTTCAGTTTCATGGTTTGCTTGAAATGTTTTGCCTTGTATAGAATGTGTGTAGTCCACAGTTAAACCTCCATAATGATGTACTTCAAAATAACTTGAAAACTAACACTTATTTTGCACTTATTTTGAAAACACTTATTTTGATGTATAATTACATTTTATCTCATTTAATCCTTCCAGCAGTCCGGAGGTAGGTACTAACATTATCCTCATTTAACAGATGAGGGAATTGAGACCACTCAGCTGAAAAGAGCTAGAGCCAGAATGTGGACAGCCTCCTGACCACCATGCCAGGCTGCGTCTACAGACATAGGGCTGCCCCACCCCCGGCCTTATCTAAATAATTACTGAGACTCCTTGTGTTATGTTACTTCCAGATTGTTTTAGTAAGCTCTTAGAAATATTTAGAAGATTTGCTTTTTGGAATTTCAATAACATTCCATTGTTTAGTTTTTCTGTTTTGAAGTCAATATCCTTCTGTTGCAGTCACCTTGAAATAGATGTTTAAAATCACTGCCACCATTATCTGTAGTCAGATCCTCTGTAAAAGTGACACTTGACTTTTTCATATTTTCCCTTTTTCTTTTAAAATAAATACCGATGTTTCCAGTAAATAGCAATGGTACTGAGGCATCGTATTCTGAGCCTCTGCTTTATGCTTATTTTCCTAGGAAATGATTTTACACTAAAGTTATTCAGTTTATGCCAGTTATTGGTTTTACCTAAGTCATCCTATTCATCTATTCTTTCTGGCTTAATTTTTTAAGAATTCTCTTCTGTAAATATGTCACTTATTTAATGTCTCATATGTGCCCAGATATAGTGGCAGCAAGGGAGTGGGCAGTTCTCCCTGGAGGCTAGGAGTCTTCAACGGTGAGAAGTCATCTGTCCAGGTTTTGGGAAGTAAATTCAGAATCCAGCTCAAGTTGGAAAGTCCCCTTTATGTTCAGATAAAGCTCTGGTGTCATTTGGATTGTTGTACAAATTTCACCTTTTCACTCCACCTAGACTTCCACTGTTTAACTGTTGGTGGAAAACTTAGACCTGGAGTCTTGATTCAAGATGCCCAGATCCCAACTTACTGTCCATATAAAATCTCCTGTATATGATTTTTATGGCGTAAATAAAACTAGATATGGTCTCTTCCTATTGCTACCATCTGTCCCCTCTTCAGCTCTAACATGATAGCGTTGCACACAAGTATTTTTCAAATGAAAGAGAATCCCTTAGCGAGGCTGAACAGCTCGAGGTGACAAAAGCAGAACTAAAGTAGGATGCATGGTCTCATGTTGTTACTGTGGCTGTTTCCTATCTAGGTTGGTGACCAGATTGTTGAAATCAATGGAGAACCAACACAAGGAATCACACATACTCGGGCAATTGAGCTTATTCAGGCCGGTGGAAACAAAGTCCTTCTGCTTTTGAGGCCGGGAACTGGCCTGATACCTGACCATGGTGAGTAAAGTAGCTCACGGTGGCTGAAAAGTTGTGTGTAGAGTGGGCGGAGGAAAGGAACATGCACTGTGGGGGATAGGCATTTACTAGCGAACTCAGAGGTGAACACCAGAACCACCAAGAGCTGGTTACACAGGAGAGTTATCAGAGAGTGCTATAAACAAGTGACTTTGTCAAGCAAGACTTTTACTGGAACTTGATTCCATCAGAAATTCAGAAAACATACAGTTGCTTTTGTAGAGAAATGTGCCAATAAAAAACAAGTACATTAGAGGCAAATGATTTAAATGGCATGAGAAACATTTTGAAGCCTTGTCAGAGTATCCCGGCTTTCTCCCTTCCGTGGCTAATGACACACTAATAGTATTCCTTTCTGTCCAGTAAGATATGTGTACATCTTAATAAGTGGTATAAAAAGTTTAGACTTTCCTGGTCACTTGTCAAAAACAAGTTGCTGTTGGAGTTGGGCCAGAGACCCTGTCTGTGCTTCTTACTGACCCTAAACCTCCAGGGTTGCCCTGTGTATTGTGAAGTATCACAGTACTTGAAAAGCAGTTTTGTTTTTTAACCGAGAGCACTGTTCTCCAAATCCAGGCAGTGCCACGCCCACTCAGTGCGCGTCTCCTCTAGCGCACCCGCCCCCCCACCCCCAGAGCTTTCGAGGGACCCTCCTGCAGTCCCCTTCCAGCTCACAGTTCTCTGACTATGTGACCTTCCGCCATCTGCTTGTAAATCATACATTCCCAATGACGTCTTTGCTGACTGCGCTGATTGTTGTCCACATAGTCCTAGGCTTTTTCTCTTCCTTCTTCAGGTTTGGCTCCTTCCGGTCTGTGCTCCTACGTGAAACCTGAGCAACATTAAGGCTTTCACGGCTTTTCTTGGTCTTTCCTTAAAAAGACTTGGTAAATTTGCATGTCTTATAAATCACTTCCGTCCTTTGTTTTCTTTTTAATTGAAAACGATGCTATTAAATACATCTGTTTCTATCTTCTGCACTTTTCCATCTCCTTTTGACATTAAATTTGACAGCTTAATGCAAGAAAAGTATTTAAATGCCCATGAACTTCATTCTGGTTACCACAGTTTGGTTTCCTTTATTAATTAGTGAATTTGCCATATCCTTAAGCTGTATCCATTGATAATAACTGAATTAGCAAGCTTCTTGGACCAGGTAATTTGGTCCAGTCTTATAAGTTTCTGATTGGGCTGTGCTACTAATTTAAAGATTATTTATTATCTAATTAATTACACATGATTGGAAAAGTGAATGTGAATACTATTCTTTTATGTATATCAACAACCCACCGTTCATGTACAAACAGATGTCTACACACATCTGTCTTTACAGAGCGATGCAGAAACATATGCAGACTGTCTAAAGTACTCATACTCGGGCTGTGTAAGCAGTCAGGACAATTCAAATGGCTGCCAAAGTTCAGAACCTGTTGTTCCCATTTGTAATTCTAAGCTTTGATAATGTTCCACTCAAATCACTTTCCTAGGTGATGGGGATATTAATAATCCTTCATCCGCAAATGTGATTTATGATGAACAGTCACCATTTCCCCCATCTTTACATTCTGCTTCCGTATTTGAAGAGTCTCACGTGCCAGGAACTGAAGAGTCTTTAATGAGAGTTCAGAGATGTGAGAAGGCAGAAGAACTAAAGGACATTGTGCCTGAAAAGAAAAGCACTTTAGATGAAAACCAGTCTGAGATGAAACATCAGTCTCTTTTCCAGAAAAATGTGAATAAGAGGGACCCACCCAACAGTCATGGGCACAGTGACAAGAAAAATCTAGGAAGAGTAGAAAACGGTGGTGCACAGAGAGGTAGATCTGTTAGTCCCAAAAAGTCAGCCAGTCGACATTCAGAGGAATATTTGGAAAAGATTTCCGGTCCTCCAAAAAATAATCCTAAAACAAGAGCCAGAGATCGATCGCTCAGCCCCAGGAAAGGGGAGAATAAAAGTTGTCAGACCAGCACCAGGGCAGGGTCTGGACCAGATCATTGCAGAAAAAGCAGAGGACGGTCTTCCAGCCCAAGGAAGCAGCAAAAAGTTGAAGGAAGCAAAGATCCATCAAATGCTGAGGCCAAATTATTAGAGGGTGAGAGTCAAAGACTAGTGGGCCATGCCAGCAGGAACGCTGAGCAGATCCCTGAGGGGGGAGAAAAGTCAGGGGTCGTCCAGAAAGAGACAAAGCAGAGTTCACTGGGAAAAAACAGAACAAGGTCTCCAGAGAAGAGAGGCAAAAGAGTGGGTGAAAAGTCTCCTCCATCCAGAAAGACCACTCATGCTCCCAGTAGAGTAGTGTCTGGAAATGAAAAAGGAAAGAAAGCGACAGCCATAGGAGAAACAAGTTCTGGTAAAGAGAAAACAGGAGATAGTGTCCAGATGCCAGAAAAGCAGCTGAGGCAGGAAGCTGAAGAGAGGATGGTTTCAAACAAAACAGAGGACCACAAAGGGAAAGACGTGGAAGCCGCTGACAAGAACAGAGAGCCCGGAAGGCTCAGACCCGAAGGCGGTTCTCCAGTTAAGAGAACACCAATAACTCCAGGGCCTTGGAAGGTGCCCAGTGGAAGCAGAGTCACAGGCACTCCTGGTAGGGCTGAAGAACGGCTGTAACTCTTAGTACAAAACAAAGAAAAACCAGCTGTCTTCTTTTCATACGAAAAAGCAGCGTTTTTCCAGCAAAAACAGGAGGCATTTTCCCCCCAGAAATTCCGAAACACGTAAGTACGTTTTCGTTTGAGCATCAAGCTCCCCAGGCTGCATGAAGGGCCTTTGGGATTGCTGGAATCCCCTGGCCCCAGCCGGTGTGCTCCCCACACGCAGGAAGGAGCTGCACCCTGGGCTCACCTGACACGCCCTGCTCAGGCTGCCCGGCTCGTCTGAACAAGCCACGTGTGTCGGTCTTAACAGTGTGGTCACAGCTCTCTTTGTGTCTGTGCCAAGTGATCTACTGTCTCACGTCTGTTTTATCCTTCTCATTCAGCTATTTCCACGGTAACGGAAAAGTTAGGTTCGGCTTGGAAGCTGATGTTCCCAATAGCATGTTGCATGTTTACCGAGAGAAGTATCTGAGTCCTTGCAGAAGAGATCGTTAACTCATCGTTAAAGATGGCAGTTTTCTCTTCTAACAGCTACTGATGTCCCAGTTTAAAAACAAAACTCTATAACATCCCTACTTTAAAGAAAGAAAATGTGGTCAAATATGGATGCTTTCTTTGGCTTTTTAATTTGGCTGGTTAAAGTGTTTCAAATAACTGTTAAAGATATGACTTACAACTGAATGTCAAAATGAGACAGGACTTTAAGCAATAGCGTTCACCTCCTGCTGTGTTATCCAACCTTAATGTAGTTAGAGCATCTCAGGTTGCCCTTTCTGTTTGCTATTTCATAATGAAACCACAGAGAAGCATGTGGAAATAGCACTTACTGTTCAAAGAAAACCTACCAGCTGTCTATTTCTGGATATTTTGGTTGTACCTACTACTAAAGTCACGAGTCTAATACATAATACATATCTGAAGAGTCAGATTACGAGGTTGTACGAGGGACTTCATCATGAAAGCAGTTTCACAGTCCACTGACAGATCAAGTACCAGCTTTTCTGGGAGCAGATGTACAAGTCCGGGTGATCAGAATCAGAACGTGTCTAAGGTCTACCCGGCAAGTCGGGACGGACGTGGCAGACAGGGCTTGCTGGGTCTTACTTAGTCTTACTTTTTAGCTGCATTAACTTTATTTTAAGACAAGAAAAGGAGACCAAACATCTGTTTAGCTTACACGAATTTTCAGAATTACTTTTAAAAGATGTTTGTTGGGAGTTGGAGACAGTTGACTCCATAAAAATAGACCCTGAAGCAGCATTCAGTAGCATCTATAAATAAAGGCATTTTCTCAGAATAGAACAATTCTCTGGGGTTTGAACACACTTGTTCTGTCACCTGGGGTTCATCGTGTTGTGAAACCCATTATGTCCAGGTCCTTTCCTCCAACAGTGACTATGAAACTCTTTGATCCAACAACTGTATCGGCCCCTGTAGATAAGACATGCTTCCCAGAGTGAGATTTTGAAATCCTTTTTTCGTCCAGAACTATATTTACCTACCTATTGCAACTACTCAAATAGAGCAAAATTAGGAGGCTTGATAAATGCTAAGACGTTAGCATCACAGAAATGATTTATTTTCCCTATAGCCCACACGTAGTGATACAAATCCTATTTTTACTGTTAAGTGTGACATAACTTTGGTGTCGTATGTTGTCAGTCTGATGTGGCTCTTCCTTCCTAAGTAACCTGTCCCTGTACTGATTATATACTGACTTAGCAATGTGGCCTTGGAATGCTGAGCAAAACATGGATGTACTGGTTGTAAATGTTTATATATTGTACAGTACCTTTCTATATACACTTGAGGTTCTGATTAGAGAAAGATCTGTAAATCGCTCGTTATTTTTTATATAGATATTAAAAAAACACAAAAAAATGCTCATGGCCCGTGTTTCTTTTACTGTCAGATTTGTTTGCTGTTGATGGTTTGAGGCCTCAAACAGATGTTCTCCCTAAAGAACAAACATCCAAAGTCCTGCACTCAGGAGACTCTGACAATGGTGACTTTACCTGTACAGTTATGCTTTTATCTATGTGTAAAGCTTGAAATTGTTTAGAGTTGAATATGCTTATTTTTCACCTTTCTTTGTAAAGAAAATAGCTTTGGATAAAATTTGCTGCTTAAAAATCCAGAAGGAGAACACAGTTTTGTCTTATTGCCTATTCAGCTACTAGACATTTATAATGAATATAGAAATGTAAGTCCAGTTAACCCCAAGGTCACAAACTTCCATTTCATGAGACTATGAGAATTCACATTTTTTAAAGATCATTTTATTTAGTTTTATACTTACTTTTAGAATGAAGTGTTTCGACTTGATTTCATTTAACCCTTGTTATAAGAAATGCCTAAAACTGACTTCAAGACCATGGTTAATTTAATCCTCTTAAGGGGAAAAATAAATTCCTACTTATCATTGCATGAACACACATGAAAAGTAAACCCAAACCCCTGGTTCCCAGGTCCCACGGTGGAGACGTGCCACAGCAAAGGCTGTAAGAAGTGGCAGCCAACACAGTTTTGTTGTCTGAGTGGCTGTGTTTTCTTACGGGTCCCAACGGCAGAAGAGCCTGGGGACGCAGTGTGCTGTCTTGCGAGTGAGACTGGAAGGCTGAGAGCGTGAAATCCTGTCTTCTAACCCAGTCACATCAACCTTCATGGACCAGTCGGCTTTGAAACAGAGTCGTCTCCTGTTTCAGAATTCTTGGCCCCCAAAAGCCTTTGGCTTTTTATTTCTACATGTGAATCCTTATTTCCTTTTTAAACAGCAAGACACTGTCGTGTAGGAACAAGAAGCCAATGCTTTTAAACATGTGGCCAAGTGAAGAATGCCATGTTTAATATGTCCACCGTTCGAAAAGAGGTGGGTTGTCAGAAAGCAAGAGTATTCGGATGCAACTCGACGACAGTCTGACTGACGATGTCCACGGAGACGTGTGCGAGTGGGGCTGAGTCCACAGCGTGCCCCTGGAGCTGAGGAGCTTGGGGTAAGCGGACTTGTTACACATGTGACCTTTCAGTCTGCTGTGAGGAAAGGAATACATCAGAGCAAGCACGACATCACAACATGCTCCAGTGCCTAAAAACGGGTCAGTGCTTTCTAAACAAGAACAAATTTATTTATTTAGGTGGCTCTTTTCTGGTTCTGCTGTTAGAATAATATCATGGCTTGTTTAAAGCATGCCATTATCATTAAGTGACATCTATAATCTTTGCTCTAGTGAGCTGAATTAGTTTAAGATATCCACTAACTTGGATATATTCTCAGTGTTACTGGGCAAGTAGCCTTCAAAAGTAAAAAGCCGGGCATAGTGGTATGCGCCTGCAGTCCCAGCTACTCAGAGGCTGAGGCAGGAGGATTCCTTGAGCCCAGGAATTTCAGCTATGACTGCACCACTGCACCACTGCACTCCAGCCTGGGCAAAAACAAAGGCCCTGTTTCTTAAAAACAAGTGCGGGGTGGGGGGGAGGGTGGATAACAGGTGTAGGCTAAATTAAAAACTCTTGGCGATGGTTTTGTTTTAATGTATAAATGGGAAAGGTTCAGAGTTGTCTATTAGATTTCAACTTTTTTGTTGTTGTTGTTGAGGTCTCACTGTCATCCAGGTTGGAGTACAGTGGCACAATCATGGCTACTGCATCCTCAACCTGCTGGGCTCAGGTGATTCTTCCACCTCAGCCTTCCAAGTAGCTGGAACTACAGGCACATACCATGCCTGCCCAGCTAATTTTTTTATTTATTGTAGAGGTTGCCCTGGCTAGTCTCAAACTTCTGGGTTCAGGCAGTCCTCTCACCTCCACCTCCTAAAGTGCTGGGATTACAGGCATGCGCCACCATGCCCGGCCTAGATGTCAACTCTTTATAAGCCTTCATTATCCTTCCTTATGCTTTTTAAAATGTATTTTAATGTCCTTTTGAGACAGCATCTCACTATGTTGCCCAGGCTGGACTCAAAATCCTAGACTCAACCGATCTTGGAGATTTGTGACAATTTGAAAAACTTGCAGACAAACCACATAGCCTAGAAATATTTTAAAAATTAAAAAGTACGTATGTCATGGAATATATGTTGGTACTAGTCTTGTTTTATCATTTATTACTATAAAATATACACATCTATTAAAAAATTTTGTCAAAACTTGCACACAAATAGACATGAATTTGCAGTAGAAAGAAATGTAAACAAACATAAAGATGCAGCATTGGCCAGGCTCGGTGGCTCAGCCTGTAATCCCAGCACTTTGGGAGGCCGAGGCGAGCGAACTGCCGGAGCCCGTGAGTTCAAGACCCACCCGGGCAACTTGGCAAGACCTCTACAATAAATCAAGAACTAGCCGGGTGTGGTAGCGCGCGCCTGTAGTTCCGGCTACTCGGAAGGCTGAGGCGGAAGGATCGCCGGAGCCCAGCGGGTCGAGGCTGCTGTGGCCGGGAGCGGCCACTGCACTCCAGTCTGGGTGACGGAGTGAGACTCCAACTCAAAGAAAAAGATGCAGCATTAAGTCATAACTGCTTGAGTGAACTGCAGAACCTGCTGCACGACTGTAATAACTTCACAGCCACCTCCTAGTGCTGCTGCAGCGAGCTCAAGTGTTCTGAGGGTCCACTTCAAGCGGCATGACGCTGGCCGTCTCTGTCCACAGTTCGTCTCTCCAGTAAACTGTGGAGCTGCAGTCAGAGGGGAGGTTTGCGGTTCCTGCGTGTGTTCCATCGTGTTTCCTGCAGGACTGTAAACCTTGAGTTACACGACGGGACCCATACGAAGTGTCACTGGTGATGCCAAAGTGTTCCCCGGAAGTGGAGAAAAGTCATGACCTTACGATAAAAGTGGACCCACTTGATAGGTTCCAGAGAGATTGAGACCTGCGGCTGCGGCTGCTGCCATTTCAAGATAAACCAGTCCAGTGTAAGACAATTGTAAGAAAAAGAAAATTCATAAGCCTTTGCTGCTATGCCAGCAGGCACAAAAACCTTGTACTTTTTGCTAAATACCTTTTTATCTCATTGAAAACGCAGCATTTACGTGGGTGCAGAAATGCTCTAAGAAAGGCATGCCTATACAATTTAGCCAGGTGCAGTGGCTCACATCTGTAATCCCATCACTTTGGGAGGCAGAGGCAAGAGGATTGCCTGAGCCCTTGGGTTCGAGACCAGCCTGGGCAACACAGTAAAACCTCATCTCTACAATAAACTAAAAAAAAAAAATTAGCCTGGCATGGTGGCATGTGCCTATAATTCCACCAGCTTGGAAGGCTGAGGCAGAAGAATCACCTGAGCCCAGCAGGTCAAGGCTGCAGTGGCTATGAGTGTGCAACTGCATTCCAGCCTGGGTGACAGCGACTCCAACTAAAAAAAAAAACCCTACTCGAAAAAAAAAATGCCAGAAAGGAGATTCATTAGTAAGGAAGAGAAGCAAGCACCAGGATTTAAGGCAGGAAGAGACAGACAAATGCAGTCAGTTCAGATCAGGACTGCCCTTACCTGTAAAGCGCTAACCCACAAGCCTCAAGGGGGGAGGCTAAACATCAGCTACCACGCTTTTGGCTGTCCAACAAAAAGTCCTGGACAACAAGAACATTTTTTCCCGATTAGTTCCATCGATCCTTTGTCCTTAAAGCCAGGAAGTACCTCGCTAATGAGCGACTGCCTTTTAAATGTCTTCTGATATTGGACTGTGCCCCTGGCCACCCAGAACCCAAGTTCAACACTGAAGGCGCCCGAGTGGTCTGCTTGGCCTCAAACACAACGTCTCTAATTCAGCCTCCAGATCAGGGGGTCATAAGGACCTTTAAGGCTCATTGCACAAGGCGCTCTGTAGCAAGGATCGCCAACAGCACAGGAGAGAGCCCCAGCAGAGAGAGCATCATGAGTGTCTGGAAAGGGCCAGGCGCAGTGGCTCACGCCTGTGTTCCCAGCACTGGGAGGCTGAGGCTGAAGGACGGCTTGAGCCCAGGAATTCCAGACTAGCCTGGGCCACAGAGCTAAACCCTGTCTCTACAAAAATTTTAAAAAAACATTAGCTGGTATGGCGGCACATATCCGTAGTCCCAGCTTCTCAGGAGGCTGAAGCAGGTGGATGGCTGGAGTCCAGGAGGTCAAGGCTGCAGTGAGCTGTGATTGTACCACTGCACTCCAGCCTCCAGTCTCAAAAAGAAAAAAAAAGCTGGAAGGATGGGTCACACCACTGAAGAGGCCATCATTGTTACAGAAAAAGCCAGGAAAACCATCAAGGCCAAAACAACAACTTCCTGCTGTGTCCCAATGTTGTGCCTGACTTCGTAGGGCTTCCAACAGGGTCAACTGAGGAAATCGTCCAAGAGATTGTGCCCGTGGCAAAAGAGGGTTTCGGGTGACAGATCCTGGAGAAATCCAAGTGCTGACAGACACCACAGAAGACCTGATGGGGAGCGTGCCCCCAAACCAGCGCCAGTGAGGAAGAGACCGGAAAAGAAACGATGCCGGAGAGGAATGGACCGAGGGTTCCAATGGGTCCAGACTGCATCTGGCCCCTACGACACGGGCCCTTCTGTGGTGGGACACTGAGGCACGCAAACATGCTCGGAGCGGCGAGACGGCGCAGAGGCCGGTGGTGGCGTGAGCCCGTGAAGCTGCGCCGGGCGTGTCTCCCCCGCCCCGGCCGCCCCGACAGCAGGACCGGCGCCTCTTCGGCCTCCTCGGCCTCCGCGGCGTGACGACGGCGAGGGTGGAGCGGGCTTCCGCCGAAGGAGCAGCCCAGGTATCGTCTCCTCCCGCGATTTTCTTCGTGGCCTTTTCTTCTCTCTGGCCGACTTTGCTGCAGGAAGGCAGTACGTGCTGCGCGTGGCACGCAAAGCTCGTGGGCTGGCTGCTGCTGCTACTGGCGAGGGTCTGTCTGGTTGTCGGTCGTTGGGTTTTGGGGAGTCACAAGTTGTGTGCGGACTCTCGGCCGCACAGGGGGACAGTGCCCCTAACGCCTGCCTTGCCCAAGGGTCAGGTTTTTTAAGTCTTCATCCTAGCGGGAAAAAATCACATGAGCGGTGAGTTCCTTGAGGTCTATTCTCCGTGTGTGTGTGTGTGTGTGTCAGGGCCTCCCTGTCACCCAGGCTGAGTACGGTGGCACAAAATGGCTCGCTGTGGCCTTGACCTCCGGGCTCAGGCAGTCCTCCCACCTCGCCTCCGGATAGCTAGGGCTACAGGCAAGTGCCACACCTGGCTACTTTTTTGGTTTTTGGAGAGGCAAGGTCTTGCTATGTTGCCCAGGCTGGTCTTGACCTCCTGGCTCAAGCCAGCCTCCACGCCGACCTCCCGAAGGGCCGGGGTCGCAGGCGCGAGCTGCTGAGCGCAGCCATTTGACCCGCTTTCGTTGAGCCCCTGTCGTGGGTCAGGTGCTGTGGTCTGGGGACCTGAGCGGGCGGAGAGCCCGCGCCTTCAAGGGGCTGACGTGCCAGGGGAAGACAAGCGCGGGGCCGGACGGGAAACCGGCTCACGGGACTGTGACGTGCCAAGGAGGAAACCGAGGCAGCGTAACTGGCGACAGGCAGGAAAGCGGAAGGGGAACCGCTGCCAGCGGGGGTCGGCGAAGGCCGGGGGGGCCGGACGGAAGCCCCAGCCGAGGCGAACCTAGGAGGCGGATTCGAAGGCAGCAGCCCGGCCGAGAAGGCTCGCGGGGC